ATGAAGTATTTTACCTTGCACAATTTGGGTTGTGCTTACAACCACGTCAATGAAAATGCGATTAGACACACGACCGTAGCTGATCAAAGTTAGTTGGTTTGTGTCTAAAGAGCGTTTAAAAAAATCTAAATAACGGTCCTTGTGCGGCCACTTTTACTGGTATAAGTGAACGACATGAGAATTGGTCCTTGTGTGTTGTCTTGTGGTTTCTTCAAACCTTAGCCCGAGAAATACGTCATGTTTCAAAAACCGCCTCGTTATGGTCACCGTATAATTTCCTCTTTCCATGAGAGTGATGTGAATGGATCGAAATTTATGGTCAACTATATGCGATAAATAATCTGATTGTGAAATTTGCTAACCGAGTCATAATCCGGGAGGCTAGAGCTGTGATGAGTGAGGATCGATACTCGCAACAAATTCGCATAGATGGCTTGTGCTTTATCGTGTAAATTCAAATGAAAAACGGTCTAATCAGCTGCCCCGAGGCCGAGTAGGTGGTATGCTTGCGTTCTGCTTGTGAGGTCTCGAGTACGGCCCCCAAGTTGGTCGATGGATTCGCCTACTGATGACGAGACCCAACCAGGACGAAACGGCTTTCCAGTCCTTCCCAGCTTTTTAACTCACACCTCATTTACTCGAAGAAATCATCATGCAAAGGCTAAGTATATCTTTGGGGGTTTTATCACCCACGGAAGTAAATCACAAACACGTGAACTTTTGATCTAGCGTCGCACTGATCCCATACGGTTTCCATCATTTAATTGAGTTTCAATTTCAATGCAATCGCAGACTGCTCCATTGGGTTGGTAGTTTAGACGATAAGCTCAAGGTATCATGCATGTGGTTGGTTGCTTTTAAGTTGTTCCTTACCAGTGTAAATAAATACTATGCCCAGTAGATCGTCTCAATTTTCTCAAATCACAAAGAACCGTGATCGATTGCTCATCATGTATATTCATTGATTGATTGTGGATCGTTTTCTTTCTCCGTGGTTTATAACGCTTTCGTTTTTCAATGTTTTTCCCGTGGAATTCTTTCAATTATTTTCAAATTTGGAAAAGAAATACATGATAATGGTCAAAAACGGTTGTCAATATGTTTTTTCTACTAATATTCGTTCGACGAACATTGACTTGTCTCCATTTACTGACAAAATCTTACAAACGCGTGACATTACTAATGAGTAGTTAAAAATGTGTCCCGATTATTTCAGGTACACTTGCGCGCTTAATCTAGCACTTCAGTTGCACTTGTCGGTTTGGGATCTTGAGCGAACAGACACAAGTACCACTCCTACCCACAATGATGACTTCGATGGAATTTCCGACTGGTCTGAATTGAATCACGTCCCATTCGAAGGAGATTACTTGTCCCTGGACCTCCCCCCAATCGGTTTGACACGTGATCTGTGGCTTCGCCTCGTGGAGTGCTGTCGTGGACTTTCTCCTCATCTCGCTCCGGGCGAGTCAGACTGCAACCATGTAACAATTGACACACCTACACTTGGGCAAACAAACGGTGATTGTGAACATCCCATGGTCCCAGTGACCGGTAGGTTACCGCTTCCCCTACTCGGCTCTGTTATACCAGTATTGAAATCGCTGGCGTTCTCTTTCTTCTTGTTCTTCTCCCATCCCCTTGAAATCACCTTGCGATATTTCGGTTTCTGTTTACACGTTCATTAACTTTGCATCTCCCTACTTTAGTTTTGGTTGTTGTCTTCTGTGGGCTACCCATTTGGTCCATCATCGTTGAATGGATACATTCAATAAGTACTAAAAGTCAGTATGTAGAAACAAATGGGCGGCGGCAGCGGAAAACTGGAAGTTGTCAAGGTTAGTCTTACGCACAGCCCGGTCGAATGCAGAAAACACAGTAATGGCTGAATCACGTGAACCGTGGTTCTACAGAAATAGGTCACGAAATTATCACCCCGGGGATGTGTTCGAATCCCACCACCACTACTACCGTCTGACTTTCCCCATTATGTGTTTAACGGCAGCCCTTTGATTGTTTACTTCCCCCTCCTGAAAATTGTATCTTTCTATATTCTGTGAAAAGAAGTAAAATCAATAAATCAATAAATGGTAAGTTCAAACAGACTTACGGCCAGGTCACTTCGCGCCAGCGTACGGACAATTTGAAACGTGGTGATACAGTATGACGTGTGAAACTGTGATACAGTCAAACGAAAACGGAAGTGCATATTTATAAACACAGAAAGACAACAGTGGCAAGCAGTTATTGAATAAATAACCGTTCAAATTTGATATTTTGTCAACTGACATTGAATGTTCATCGTAGTGTGGTTGGTATTGTCATTTATAATCAGACTACTTAAATATCTACAGTAGTCAACTTGCAGATACCGAAACATTCAAATTCTCTTCTGGAACATATAGACAGGAAATTGGTGGGGTAAAAAATGCAGAAAACGACGGGATACGACCTGCTTAGGTAGTCAGCAGACGCAGAAGTGCGATACCAAATACGACCATTGTGGCCGAATACCCCGAGTTTAATAAATCCTTTTTGCCAGGTCCCTTTTGTGTTTTTTTCCATCTACGTACGTACGTACGAACGCACTTCTAGGATGCCCTTCCAGTGGCATGCCTCACAAACCGCAACCTCTGCAGATTAAATCATTGGCGTCAATGTGCGACTGCAACTTTTTTTACACCACTAGCTTACATTGTTTTTCTGTTTTTCCACCAGTCCGAGGCAACGCTGTTTATCAGTTTCAGTTTTTGACAACCGTTAACCAGGCACTTTCGTGCGCCGGTTTTGGTTGTTGTCTTTAGGCTGCTCATTCCGATAAAAGAACGGAATGAAGAATATAATGTTCATAGCAAATTCAAGGAGATGATAGAGAATTCCTGTAGACTGTGGTTGCAGGAATACTGAGGAGATGCACGAGGGTCTCTATTTGCGACACTTAACCATATCACCCCTGTCTCTAAATACCGGTTACGATCAGCCCGAGGTTCCCATCCAGGCAGCGTAACGGGACGTGTGTAGCCGAGTCTCATGATCATGGTTTTCATACCCTCATGTCATGTCTTAATTTGACCGCCCTTGAACTTTTTCCATCCGCTACCTGCTTCGGCAAACATCGCTCTCTGTGATAACTTATTTGATGACATGCGCAACACATGTCCGAACCAGCATAATCTATGGGGTTCGACTACTTACTCCGCAATGTATGCAGCGGTTTTCGGACATCTAATGTTAGAGCTCAATCCATCCGTAACGGGCACATGCTCCCATCACATAGAAGCCTCTGCTAGACTGCTGCCGTATACACTGAACCCCTTACAAATAGTCAGACCTTTGGGCGGCGTCACGAACTAGCAATCCAGCCCCCAAAATTCGTGCCGAAACTCCATTTGAAATTCGTTCTGCAAAAAAGCCATAGTTGTCGGTTGGCAAAATTATCGCTACTTTGCTGTTTACCTATCTTGGAGGATTTAAGGTGTTTTTTGCGAAAAATCCGAATTACTTAAAAACTGAATATTATCCAGTTTGGCTACTGGTGATTGGAGGCACCTTAATAGCAACAACTCAAGTTACATGATTCCTATTTTTGAAAATCTGTCTGAATTGGAAATAAAATATTTATTCAACGTCTGTGACGGCTTCATGGGTTGGTGCAGATTGGTGTCGACCACATCTGCACTCTTCATCAAACTCTAGAGCACGGATATTCTTTTCGTAGACCCACCATCTCTGCCTTCCTTGAACGGAAAGCGGCCTTCGACTCGGTCGACCGCTCTTAACTCTGGCGCCGCCTGTCTGTGAAAGGTGTACCCGAGAAGTTTATTTCAATATTACAATCCCTTCATACTAATAGCCCAAACCGAGTCCGAACTTACTAGAAAGTGCTATTCGTCAGGATTGCCCTCTCCTTTCCAAGATCTGACCGGTCAGATCTTGTAATGATCCGGAGAGGGTTTTATTGCATGTTTTGCACCGGATGAATTAGACGGATCCGTCTGCTCACACACACAACAATCGAATGTGCTCTCTCACTCTGTGCTCCCTGAACAGCTGGAGAGGCGGGTCACGTCTATCGTGTTCATACCACCTTACTCCTCGCTTATTCGAACTAACTCTACCGCTCTGTGCGATTTCCAGTTGACTGCCAACTGAAGGCCTCGGTGAGTGAGGTTTGATAACCCGTTTTTTTAATAAGCATGACAAGCATGATGCACGCCAGAGGAGTAAAGCCCGCCCATTATGTGAACGGCGAGGATACAAGAGTATTCATCCCGGATACGCAACTGATTGATTCTACGCTTGAATGTGGAAACGTCGTGAGAAGAAGGAAAAATAGAATGAGGAAGATTCTTCCATACTCCCGTAGTTCTTAGATAGAAAAGGTTTTCGGTGCAAGTGACCAGGCACTTGGTAACAGGTCTCACGAACAAATGAACATGGTGGGTGGATTGAACTTGCAAACTTCGTGTGAACCAAAACCGTAGTAATAATGGTAGAAAAAGACCAAAGTACTAATGAACGAGGGTTTGAAGTGTGCATGTGAGAGTCGGATTGGTGACCCGGCTAAACGACCCTGCACTGATCCCAATCCGAATGGGTAAAAACATAAGAAAAGATCCCGCTCCAAACGCATAGCTACAATACTTCATGGTGAAACTTTTTCGGGTCTTGTACAGAATGAGAAGTTCAGAGGAGAGTGAATAACCGTTTCGCGCCAGCGATATGCACTCGATTCGATTCGGACCGAGCTATACTAGAAAACGTGATGTCAAATTGCCGAAGATGTAGAATGAAGGAAATTCGATTTCCAACGCAGATTGGAGCCACACGGGGATTGCGTTTGCGGGATAACGGTTCACTTTTTTCGTGGCATTGAAAGCAGTTGATTCTTAGTCTTACAAACAGCGGTGGCATTCCAGGGTGAATTGAGTAAACCACACACACATACACAATGACAGATAATCGTCCGCAAGTGATGATAATATAGGAAGTTTAGATGATGTAAGAAAGAGAGTGATACCATCGGCGAAATAGGGTTATGATTCAGATTTAGGGATCTAAAACAATTCAGTCTGTTTCATTGTTGTGCGGTCTTGAATTGATTTGACTTACCGGCTAGTCTTAATTCCGCTTAAAATGGTGAGTAACTACTGTCTGTGAACGGGTCTGGGTTTTTTTTCGATAATCTGTAAAAAGAAACGCGCTTTTTGGACGAGGTACGGCTACATAAAGTCATCTTCCACCCCGATAACTTACCAGGAGAATAGCGAACAGGTCAGCCCTAATCCGTGTTAAACTTCACATGAGTAGGGCAACGGAACCATGACAACCACACTGGTGTACTGGTTTAGTGATAATGCAATCTCATAAATAAGGTACAGTTGATGATTTAGCTCGGATCTTAGTACATGCTGCATTCTCTTACGTATCAGAGAGAGAGAGAAACCAAATTACTGAAAACGGTTGGAACCTCTTTTTATGGGGAACATGAAACACACCCGATCATCTCCACCATTATTTCCATGGTGACTATCGTTGCACATTAGATTTCACGCGTTCGGTTTTCTTCAATTATAAGCCCATCCATGTGAAGGCCGGGGTCAGATAAGACTCGTTTGCGGTTCCAGTTATAAATCTCCCAGCTTGTCTTGGTACATACACTCAAATATTCTGAGTCATGGATAAGCGAGCATTGCTCTGTTGAGGCGGTTTCATTTTCATTCTCTCCCATGTGTGTGTGTAGAGTGACGGGGGATAGATTGTTG